ATCCAAATGGACCTTACCATCAAGCATTGTTGCTTACCATTTGCACAAACCGTCAATGAACCGGTTTCTCTGTATAAACAACCAATGTTAGCAGTTTTCAAATATTATAAAATTGACCCCTTGCAGAGGTTAGTATGTGACTTCCTTCTTGCTCTCTGACAGTTAAATGTAACTTGCATCAGGGCAGCCACCTTCATGTCATATTGAAAGCACTGTGTTTATATATTCTGCCTTTTCTTAGGGAAAGCAGGAAATGTCCGGACTGGAACTGTAAATAAAGGAATGCAAAAAGCACAGTCTCCATCATCTCAGGGTAAAGTTGTACAATCACTGTCGTCTCAACAGCCAATTACAACACAGCAACAAAAAACTGTGGTTGTGACTAGTCCACAGGGGAACCAAACCAAGGTTTTTATTAATCATAACAATATCGCAAGTTCACAACAGCCGATTGTACAACTCAAGCAGCAAGTTGCCCAGCAAAAACAACAATTCCAACAGATTACTCTTCAGAAACAGATTCATCAACAACAACATCAGCAGCAGCAATTACAACAACAGCAACAACAACAACAACAACAGCATCTCCAACAACAGAAACAACATATCAACTCACAATTTATCAAACAACAACATCCAATACAACCCCGTTTAGCACCGGCACCACCTTCACAATCATTCATCTCGCAACAACCTGGTCAGAATATCATTGTTAAAGTTACGGAACCTCTAAAAAGTCCACCCAATGCAGTGTTTGTGACAACGGAACCTCGACAAAACATGCAGCACACAGTCTGCCAGAAACCACAGTCTAACGTTGTGTGATTGGCTATTGCCATGTTTATCAATATTGCTCAAATTTACTGCTGCAGCAGTAATGCCATGTCTCTGGTAAGTGAAGAAATAGTTAAGCTCAAGGGGAAGTTGCAATATGAGGCTCTGTTGCTGCTTTGGAGAAAAATTCTAACCACATGGGGTTTACATCAAACTTGCAATGGTGATTTTCACAAGCCATCAACAGACACGTGCCACTATGTGGCTAAAGGTACCTGTTTTGCTGTTGATATATGGCAGATATGGTAGACAGTCTGGCGACTTGAGCAGTTTCTGACATTAACTAGCCACTGGTGGTTGGTGTTGTGTGAGTAGTACTGGACGTATGTGCTTTGTAGAATTATCCCACAGGTCACAGGTATAACTTCTGCAGATGTTTCTACAAATTATCTACATATGAAACTAGCAGTTAAAGCATGAAAGAGAGAAAAAACCATACAAACAAGAGTAACTGACGAAAAAAGTATTTATAAATTAAAGTGATGTAACATAGTATGTTTTCTTTAGGGAATGTGTTATTTAAAGAGTTTCTTCCATTGCACCGCTGACAGTAACAGTACTCGGCAGTGAAAATACTGGTAAAATTTAATATGAGAATAATGCATGTTAACCGTACAGAATTTCCATCGACAGACTTCCTTGATCAATCGGTTTTGAAAATATATCTTTAAAATACAGATATTTGCACCTTTTTTCCAAAAACAATTTTTAACAAGTGGATCAAATAGTAGTTTCAATGGTATTAGGTAATCTTCAATGCTTGCTGCTAAGTGAACTGAAAGAAGTGTCAATAAATTCTAGTCACAAGTGTCACGATTTATTCAATGAATAGTCAATCTCTTATCAAATGGTATTAGAAAACACAGTTAAGTTTTGATTTCTCTGTTTACTTACTGCAGTAATCACTGGTTTGCCTCCAGTACAGTGTGTAATTTCATGCTCACCATCTCAACATTTCTGATAAACTGCTTGGTACAACATAGCAAAAGTCAAACATGGTAATTATAAATATGGCCTTGGTTAATGGATGTTTTAATGTGTTATCACTGACTGTATATATTTAGGAGTCTTGCAAAGTTTTGGTTAGCCCATAAAGCAAGTCAAAATACAACTGACGAATACAAATATACAGTGATACCACACATTGAAATGATTAATAATAGTTCAAAGATTTTATTCACCAAATCCTTGTTTTGAGTCAGTTTTGACACTTTCACATGGTCTACAGAAGAACTGTTAAACTGGTCTCATAGGGTACAAGTATCATATGATATTAATTTTTTGAATCAAATCTGCATCATTTGTACTGCATGAGAAACCTTTTTGGGATGAGATTAATAATCTATTTAACAAGCAAAGAACACTCAAATTTGGTTATAAAACAATGCCAAGAGGGCAACCAGCAACAATCAGTTTGAATCAAATGAACATTTAAGACTGGAGGCAAACCATGTAGTACTGTACCTGACTCTTAACCTTTCATTCCTAAGATTGAGATACTGATTCTCTTTACATGTTTCAATAGATTTAACTTGATACAAGTTATGAGAAGTTGGCAGTAAATCAAGATGGAATCCCATGTTAACGATTTTGATTTTCTCATTAGCTGTGTGTCTATTGAAATTCTACAAAGAAATTTGTGATCAATCTTGGAAATGGAAAGGTTAAACTGTCTCTTGAAATTTGCACAGTAATGTTATTTTTGTTTGATACAATGCAGTCATCTCCACTACCTCACATGCCCATATTCAGGTGCAGTGCATTCTCACTACAATGCTCTTCAGCCAAATTTGCATCAAAGGATGAAATGCCTTTTCCTTTTTTTAAAAAATGGGAAAGAGTATTAAAGCATACCAAACATACTATTTTTGCTGTGGGGTTTTGCGTCTCATTGGCATCTTACACTGTGATTCACAAAAATATAAGGGTTTGTACCAGGAAACTCAATTCTACTTGTTACAAGGGATTCTATTTCTGTAATGCAGTGAAGCGGAATTGAAATTTGACTACAATGATCTAGACTAGAGGCTTAGTTCCACCTTCACTTTCTTTAGGGATATTCCTTCAAATCCACATATACACATTTGGTTAGTTTTTGTTGTCCTTTAACTAAAGGTATTCATTTGTAAGTCATTGTTTGCCATTAAAAGAAGTTTCTGTCTTTGAGTTTGCTGAGAGGAATTTCTATTAATCTGAGCACCGACAGGCAACCACATTCTGATGGTACAAACGGGCTGGTGGCCTCAAAAGGTTACTTCAATATGACAAAATGAGCTTTTCTTTGGGCCAAAAAGAAGTGGTTAATATAAAGAGATTTACGGTATTGTTACTGCACCACTAGGGTGGTGCACAGCCAGGTCAGGTGGTTGTGGGGAAGGGGGCATGCAATGCAAAGAAAGAAATTCTTGTATTTTTGTGAATCAGGATGTATGGGAAGCAATGCAAGGTGCAAACCAGTGAATCAGTAAATTCACCTTGCAAGTCGTTTGCATCAGCATGCACTAAGAAAAACTTAAAGAAATTAATTTATTTTAGTTGTTTAAATTTTCCAGAGTTGCATTTTATAAATTGTGTATTATTTGTACATGGACAGAACAGAACTTGCTAATACTAAGCTATATTTTGTGGGGAATCAAAACAATGTAAGTTATATAGTAGAAAAATTATCCAAAAAAATAATTCTGTCTTGTGAATGTCTAACAGTGTGAAATGGGTATGTTACGACCAAAACAATCTTCTTTCTTGTGCATTTGTGATGAATCCAGATTTAACAATGGTTATAATGTTGTGTCAATGCAAAGCATATGAGACTTGATTATGTCAGGGTAATTATGCAGAAAACAATGATATTTTTCAAACATTTTTCTGCTGCTGTGAGAATTCTCTATTCCTGGGTTTGAGACCTTTAACCACATCAATAGTACATAGATGCATATCTTTACTTCGTTTAAATGTCTTGGAGTATGAAAAATTTGATCCAATTTTTGGACCCAAGTCTACTACAAATGTTATTTCACCAAAACTGTACACTTACATTTCATTGCATATACTGTTCAGTTGATTTTGGTCTGGGTCTTATAATTTGCTGCGTGCATAATTGTCATTTCCATAGTGGTTTTAATTATTCCACTAAAATGTGAATTTTGTCTGGAACAAGTTTCACTTGGGGGTGGCATTCAGAAGCCATCTTAAAAAAATACTTTTTTGCAACCATATTTTTGGAGAACCGGCAGGAATTTAAATACATAAACTTACAATACATTAGTTGTGCGAGTCTTTCCTAAAGAACTGGGTGAAAGCAAGAAAATCTTAACCCTTATAGTCCCAAGCAAGCTTAAAATCTAAATTCTCTCTAATACATTTGTCATATCTTAGTATTGAGAATTTGAAAGTTCATCATGACAGACTATCAAATCATAGTTGATGAATTTCTGTATTCTCCTCACCTGTCTGTGTTATAATATATAGACATGGTATGGAGAAAATAGACATTGATGTTTCTTGGGACTTGAGGGGTTATCCTCTGTATTTTTTAAAGACAATTCCCATTCAATGGTTCTACTGTGAGGTGAAAGTTGATATTATACAAATATACATTCCAATGATGGCTTGTAAATTTAATTACTGAATAATGAAATAATTATCATATGTGACCTGAATGCACTTTTGTCGGAAGACTTACACTATATCAATTTTGTACCTAACTTTTGTAAATAAAGTATTTATATGTCAGAGATCTACAGAAACTGGTTTAAGTGTAGTTGATGTTTGAATAACCCTTTGACCTGTACCTGAGCGGGGTTGGGGTACTCCCCTGTACGGGCTATATACAGTGGCAGATCCAGACCTTGAGCTNGGGGGGGGGGGGTTTCTTGCCCTGCCAACTTTTCTTCCTTCTGCTATTTCTTCGTTTTTTGCCCAAAATAAGGGGGAGGCCTGGGGCCCCCTGGGCCCCTTCCCTAGATCCGCCACTGATATAGGGTAAGTTTTTTTGAGCCATTTTGGTCATATATAGGGTATCAATTTTGATCATTTTGGTCTTAAATAGGTTGTGGGATTTGCACTCTAGTCTTGAATTCAGTTTTTTTTTTGAAAGCTACTTTTTCATCATTATAGCTAAGACCATCAACGAAAGCTCTTCATGATGCCTTTTACATCAGTCTGAACTAAGTAACTAATTATGAGACAGGTCTGAAACAGGGTATTGAGTTAATGGTCATGTCTTAAATGTCTTAAATAGGGTATCAAATGTTTAGTCAGGTCTTAAATAGGGTAGGAAAAATCATAGATTTGGGTTAATTTGGGTAAGGGTTTTGGGAAGTGGGCCGTACACCCCGCCCGATTTTTCTGGGAGCACCCCCACCCCCGGGGGAGCCTCCATGACCAAATAAAGGGAATTAGTAAATAAGGTTGGAAAAAACACAGGAAAAAGGTAGCAAAAGAACTTGCTCAGAGCATAGTGACCTCTCCCAACTTTACTCTGAAGAAGGGTTAATTTTCACAAACTCACTCCGGCGGTCAATTTCAAGTTGATAAATAGTTCGGTCAACAGTTTGGTTGGAAACTAACAACCTTTAAAGGGCTTTAAAAGTCAGTCTGACCATATCCAGACCTCTTCAAAAGAGGAAAGCGCCTGACACGGAGATAGGTCTTTTCAAGGTCAGAAATGGGGTGGGAAAAATTTTGTGAAGGAATCCACCAGAACTTCGAGTAACAAGTAGACAAATCTTTGGACTGAAATTATTTACGTCGTATTGCAAACCTTTTCTCGAAATCATTTCTAATAACACTGAATGTCGAAAACAAATTTTGAAGTTCATATGAAACACTTGAAAGTACTGCTGAATAGAAACTGCTGATGAAATTTTACACGTGTTTGCACAAATTCCCAGAACTTTGAAATTTATTTCCCCGAGTTTCTATCAGAAATTGTTTTTGGTGTTTTTTGTAGCCTTTAGAAAATGCAAAACGGGCTGTGATGTGCTTAAAAATTTTCCTAGTACAAAGTTTTTGTCAACTAGATACTAACATTGCTCGATTTGCTATCGGATTTCATCTTAACTGCTTCAGGCGTGCTATCTTTTTCAGCATAAGAGGTGTGAGGTGTTGGGTGTCCACCATTAGCCCTTTTCTCTAAGGGTCCGACGTGCGTTTTTCCTCCCGAACGAGGGAGCGTGCGCGCCATACCCTTGTCTTGTCTCTTTGCCAATCCGTCTCGTCCGTGTGTTCCGCATGCCAACCTCGATCCCAGGCTCTCTCTTCTTTTTCAGCTTCCTTAGGACCATTTTCGTCCCCATAGCCCTTTTGGCTTCTCTTAGCTGGTGGAAGAGAGTCTGGGATCGAGGTTAGACCGGAAGCAGTCTCCTGTCATGGATCCTAAGAGTGCTTTCCGTATTAGTTACAAGGTCGTCCATACGAGTGCGTTTCAAATCCTTTTTCTCTCAGGAGCATGAATTTAAAATCCTTTGAAGTCTTCAAAAAAAGGAAATGGGAAAGCTATAATTATGATCCAGCCGAAAGAATTGTTGACTCATAACAGTCTGCTGGCTCTGATCGATGATCTCGGGCACAGATCAGAATAAGGTCCCTTCAAAGGAATCGTTAGTTACATTGTCATGAAAGAGGCCGACTTAGGCAGAGAAAGGGTGGTTTTCCAGACAACAGTAGGATTTTTCAGAATTTTCAAGGTGTTTTTGAAAGTGCATATATAAACAATAACCTCATTTGGCGCGAAAATATGCTCGGATATTTGTCCTTGGACATTATCTGTTCCGAGAAGCGAACAGAAAATTGTGAGCTTTGAGGAACAGATTATGTCCAAGGACAAATATCCGATCACATTTTCGCGCAAAATGCAGGTGATTGTGTTTATTCTCCTTCAAATATTTTTTGCAAACGCGCGGTTTTGAAAATTGGGGAATATCACTCGGATAATCCCCAGTTTTAGCTGGGAAATATTCAGTCACGTGACGCGCTTAGACCAATCACGTGCGAGCGAAAATATTTGATGGATTATAAGAAAAGTCAAAATCCCAGGATGAGGCTTTTGAACTGAACGAGAACAGAATCGAGGGGAACTACAAGACCCTTCAAGTTACTGCACCCCTCTGGTTACTGTTGATTGCAAGTAACTGGACTACAGAATCCTATACATCAGGGATCTTGTAGGAAGCAACACCCTGAAAAACATACGCCTCATAACTGAAAAGCGCCGGTTTATCTTAAGATACACCACTACAGGCTGTTACAACTCAGTCGCCCTTACCACATTACCCCAAGCGCAGCTTTTAATTTTCCATCCATCTCCCTATCTTGCAGTTAAGAAAGCATTTTTTTTCCTGTAATAGGAAAGAGATAAGTTATAGTGATAGCAGTAATAAGGAGGAGTTCGTTGACAGGGTTCTTTCGGTTGCTTACGAAACTCTACATGAAAATAGTGATGGGTATGCACTCAGTTCTAACAGCTCTTTCAATGGTCAACCAGGCTGTTCAAGTGGTGCATAGTGCCTTTATTATAGATAATGCAAGGGAAAAATAAACAAGTTTTATTGTCGTTAACAGTAATTAATACAATCAAGTTTTAGATCAATTGTTGCTAGTTTTGCTTACTGGCAAACATGATCACTGCACCAAAGAGAAAATACTTAGAGCGTTCTAGCCTCAAAGGCCACTGAATCCGTATTTCAAATCAGGCTTTCCTGGATCCGGGGGGTACTCCCAGAAAAATTGGGTGGGGTGTACGGCCCGGTTCCTAAAACTCTTACCCTATTTATGACAAAAATCTGCGATATTCCCTACCCTATTTATGACTACCCTGCGAGCAGTTGGTTTCTCCTACGCCGAACGAGAGAGAAACCATTGCGAGCAACCGTCTACTTTTCCACTGAGCATGCGCGAGTTCGTCACGCCCCACGTGATGCATTTGACGTCAGATCCATTTGTTTATACAACGCCGGTCCAAAGAATGCAAAATTTATCGCCAAAAATGCCGACAAAAGACGCTCCAGACCTTCGTCGAAGTGTCAGATTTATTATCAATTTTGTGGTCCTAAACCTAAAAGCTTTCTTTCGTAAAAGCTTTTTCAAGCGACTGACTCCAAGCACTAGAGGAAGAACTTCCAGCGATGTACAGCACAGTCTCCAAGAATTATGAAACGTCCCTCAACATCGTAACCCAGATCATAATCGTTGGCAGTGGACTTGGACTTTGATCACTACACGGTGGGCTCGCGTAAACGCAACAGTTATGTTGGTGAGCGCATGCGTGCGAGCCTAAACCAGCTTTTAAACTAGTTTTACCAGTTCAAAGTTAATTTATTCGTCCATTTCGCTGGACGGCGGTTAACTCAAACGAACGAACGGTTGCTCGCAGTGGTTTCTCTCGTTCGGCGTAGGAGAAACCAACTGCTCTAGGGTAAATTATGACCTGACTCTTAAATCACAATGCTGTTTCAGACCTGCGCTATAATTAGCTCCCTAGTTCAAACCAATGTTAAATTACCGTAAACATAATTTGTGAAGGGTTTTGTCGATTTTCTTTTCGATAATGATGAAAATGTGGCTTCTTCTCAAAAACATACCAATATCAAGGCTTAAGTACAAAAACCATACCCTATTTATGACCAAAATGGTCAAAATCAGCTAAAATCGATACCCTGTTTATAACCAGAACGGCTGAAAAACCCTATCCTTTGGGGCCGCACATACCTATATAGCCCATATAAGGGAGTACCCCCCCCCCCCAACCCGGTGGGGGGCTGGATATCTCAGAATAGTTCGGTATCTGTGTTCGATCGAATTCGGGCGCGAATGTTTGGTGATTTGTGCAGTGAATGATCAAGTACCTAATTTAATTTTCGCGACCCTTTTTAAGACTCGGGAAAGTTACTTTATATAATATTTTACGTGTAAAAACGTAAATGAAACCATTCCGCGCTGTTTTCAGTACAGTACACTATGTAGGAAGGAAGTCAGGTAAGGGCTGTACTACATTTGTATCGCGTTACTAGTCTAGTATTTGACGCATTTTAGTCTCGATTAGATGAGCAAGAGTTTTAGAGCATGTTCCTGACAGGCTTTTTCCAATAAGGTGACCAACGAAATTTCCGAGAACAGCTCCCACGAGGCCGCCAACAACAGGAATGGGGATCACAACTTGACCGACTACCATTCCTACGATACTTCCGCCGGAGCGAAAAAGTGCCAACAGCACAATATCAGTGGCCTCTTTGATGAACTCCTCTCTGGATTCAATGAGTCCTGTATCTTTCCACTTCTTGTACACATTACGAATGTCATATCCCGCCATAACTGCCTCGATTATCACAGTTACTGCCGCGCCGACCCCGACCCCAACCTTTGAAAGAGCTTTTGGAGCAGCTTGGCTGGCTTGGCCAACTGCACTGCGTGTTGCACCGCGTCCGATCGCTACAGCGAAGTCATCAACAAGCTCGGTGCCTACCTTGAAAATTTGCTGCAGGCCATGCCAAATCGACCTCAGAACACCTCTTCCTGTTTCACAAAGAGCTTTTCGCAGTGGTGTCACCTGCAGACTAACATTCAAGCCACACAAACACCACATGACGAACGACTCGCAGTTATTCTTTTTCAAGTCAAAGAAGTCCTCGCCTTTCCTCTTTTGAGCCCGGCCTATGACTTCTCTTACAGAAAAGCGTCGCAATTCCTCTGGCCACACGACTCGCTCCACTTCTCTTCCCTTAGCTTGTAGTTCGTCTTCGTTCTTGATGAAGTCTTTGTGTGGTAATGTCATCTCTTGCACGATGCCCAATCGTTCATTTGCGCTACCCGAACCAAGGCCACTCGTAGAAATCATTTGTGCGCTAGCGTTAGCCGCCGTGTTATAATAATGGACGATCTTTGGCCGCCCTTCACGGTCAGGTCCAATGCAAATGAAGTGATGCTCGTACGAAATACCAAGGGAGGAACTTTTCCGCACCAGGTGGTCGCCTTCCTTCATGTCGGAAAAACGATGGATCGGCTCTCTGGCTTGAAGTTGCCATCGAAGAAGACGCATTTGCTCTTCACTCTCAAGTTCCTCGATACCTTTCCAGACGAAATACGATGAACTTAAAACCATGTCGACTACGAGACTGCTGGCAGATATCTACAGCTTCTTGTGGAGTAGGCCTAATATAATGTAGCTAAACCCCGCGATGCTTTTATTCTGAAATCATAGGGGTTTTTCCCGGTTTCGTTTTATTTAAATCGTTTAAGTCAGTAGCCAAAAATAAGCTAGTTGACGAGCCCTGATTGGCTGCGAAAGTTAGCCACATAAGATTAAGCGAGCCATTTACTGAACTCTTGACCGGAGCAGCGTTCGACTGACGCAATGTTTATCATCACCCTGACAATAAAATAATATTTGCATTGTAGCACGTAATAGGAACACTCTGTAGCCAAACACAGGACTTTTTCTTGTTATAGAAGGGAGAGGGGATTGTAACGTGCATTGTAACTCAAAATGTCATGATCATAAAAGTTTCTGATGCGAATGGTCAACTTGCTACTCTTAGTGTTCAATTTTAATACCTAGAACGGGTCACCAAATTGGAGAAAATAGTACGAATTAGACAATACTGGTTTTCTTAAAACAACATAAAACTTTCTCAGTTAAATCTTGTAAATGTATGATGACCTCTTGAACACTTTTAAATTTGGACTGACATCAAAATTCAAGCTGTAACTCGCATTTAGCATTGCAATCCTTTCTTCTCTTTCTCTGTCTTTGAAAGTTACCCTAAGCTAGCTCATGTTTACTTATTACTGACTGAAAATTTCAACACTTCATCCTTATTCATTAACATCTATATCTTTGCTTACTTTGTCTTCGTACGTTTTAAACTGAGCTAAACTGCATACTTTTGAATGAAGTTTGTCAATCCTATAGAGTAGGCACCAATTACGCCCGGCTCCAGCTAAAAATAAGCTCCTGATCGGCTGGAAAAGGTATTCGCTTAATAATCCAGCCATTAATTGAACCCTTGACAGGCACGAATGCGTTCCACTGACGCAATGTTTATCAGCCTGAAAATAATGTTTGCATTCCAGTCACGCAATGGAAACACTGTGTAGCCAAACACAGGACGTTTTTCTGTTAGAAGGGAGAGGAGAATGTAACGTCCATTGTAGCTCAAAATGTCTCTCATTTGAAAAATATAAAATTAGTTTTACTGACATCATAAAAGTTTCTAATGCGTATGGTCAACTTGCTACTCTTAGTGTTTATTTAGTTTTAATCTGATCTCGAACGGGTCACGAAGTTGGAGAAAATAATACGCATTAGACAGTACTGGTTTTTTTAAAGCAATATAAAACTTTCTCAGTTAAATCTTGCGAAAGTACGATGACCTGTAGAACACTTTTAAATTTGGACTGAAATCAGACTTCAAACCGTAATTCACATTCAGCATTGCAATCCTTTCTTCTGTTCCTTTACTAGTTAGCTCTGTTTCTAAAAGTCAACCTAGGCTTATTCATGCTTACTTATCATGTACTGACAGAACATCATAATGCTGTTAATTCATCCATATTTACTTAAACATCTCAGTATCTTGCCAACTTTGTCTCCATACGTTTTAAACTGCACATACTGTTGAATAGGTTCTGTTCAGCCTTATGACTGGCGCTAATTACACCATTACTATGGCTAGGTACAGTTTCGTCTATAGAGGGTGGAACTTGTTACATAACGAGATCGTATAATACCTCTCGACGCTACTGCTCAAATTTCTTAAATAGAAAATTGCAAAAGTAAAGGAATTAAGGGACATAAATTCCTTTTTAGAACGAGCAGCATCGAATGATTGGCACCATCACCGTCTCTTGTACTACTAAGCTAAATGCGATCTTTTGTCGAGCGAAGTGAATAGGGCTTCATAGAAAGGGAACTTAAAATTTCTCAGTTTCTTAATTGAAAACGTGCTGCGGGCCCGCCAAATCGACCATAATATACCGTTACCTACCACAAAGAAACTACAGAGATTTCGTAGTCGCCTGCAGACTGATTTTCAGACCACATAAACATCACATGACGAACGATTCGCAGTTATTCTTTATCGAGTGATAGAACGATTTCTCGCCAAGCCTCCTCTGAGCCCTGTCAGTGACTTCTTTTGCCGAATAGCGTCGCAATTCTTCTGGCCATACGACCCGCTCCACTTCTCTTCCCCTAGCTTGCAGTTCGTCTTCGTCCTTGATAAAGTCCTTGTGGGGTAATTTTATCAGGCACACCGTTACCGACTGTGAAAGTTTGCTTTTCGAGTCATAGTGGACGATCTTTGGTCGCCCTTCACAGTCACATCCAATGCAGATGAAGTGATGTTCGTATGGAATCAAACCGACTGAGGTAGGAATTTTTCCGCACTTGGTGGTCTCCTGCCTTCATGTCGGAAAAGCGGTGGATCGGCTCTCTGGCTTGAAGCTACCAGCGACTGAAGAAGCCGCACGCGCTCTCCGCTTTCAAGTTTCTCGATGCCTTTCCAGACGTAATACGATGAACTTAGAACCATGTCGACTACGAAACTGCCGGCAGATATCTACAGCTTATTGTGGTGTAGGTCTAATACAATGTAGTTGGAGCCCGTGTATCGTGAAACGTGCCTTCATATAATTTGAAATAACTACAAAAATGTAAGCTTATATTGCCGCCAATGAAAAAAAGAATTATCTGGGCAAATTTGGTTTCGAACATCCTGTGCGGTAAAGGAGTGGGGCCCTTGGGTGTACTTGGTTTACAGAGTTGTTAATCGGATTAGCCCGGGTGAAAACTCAAGCCAAGTCTGATGCAATAGAAAACACAATAGGATCTTAGAAAACCACAAATAAGTATTAAGAATATAATGGCTTTATGTAGTTTAGGCTTGTCCTTCCACACTTTGGACTTAACCACGAAAGGACATCGAGAAGGCTTCGGGTGACTTTGAGGTTGCAACGTATCACGGTATTGCTCGTAACTTGTTCCTCGTATGTCATCCGGGCGCAAGGCATGGCGGGTCTGTAACACAAAGCGTACATCAGTCTCGATTCCGTCCAAATCAGTGACGTCATGATCCTCGGGATTTTCGCGTGTATTTTCGTTATGATAACCGATAAATAGAATCACTATCTTGTAACTGACAGAATGAATAGAGATCGAGATCGATTGAATGTAGAGTGTGTGGATCGTAAATAAACGTAAGAAAACAGAACGACACAGTCCGATTGATTGCTGAACCAGGGGAACGCAGAGATTCCCTTAACGCTGTCGAGAAGTTGCTTTTATAAAAGTCACTAGCCAAAATTAAGCTCACCGACGGGCCCTGATTGGCTGGCAAATGTCGTCACATAAGATTAAGCGAGCCATGGATTGAACTCTTGACCGGAGTAGCTGCGTCGACTGACGTAATGTTTATCATAGTCACCCAAAAGAAAAATTCTGTAGGCAAACACAGCTAGCACGTTTTTCTGTTAGAAGGGAGAGAGGATTGTAACGTGCCTTGTAGCTCAAATGATGTCTCCAAGTTAAAAAATAAAAAAAGTAGTTTTATTGACGTCATAAAGGTTACTGATGCGTATGGTCAACTTGCTACTCGTAGTGTTCAATTTTAATACGAATGTTAACATTTCATTGAACGGCTTACGAAGCTGGAGCAAATAATACGCATATTAGAAAATTCTGGTTTTCTTAAAGTAACATAAAACTTTCTCAGATAAACCTTGCAAATGTATGATGACCTGTTGAACACTTTTAAATTTGCACTGCAATCAGACTTCAAGCTGTTACTCGCCTTCAGCATTGCAAACCTTTCTTCTGTTTCTCTATCTGTTTGTCTGATACCTAAGCTATCTCATGCTTACTTATCACTGACTGAAAGTTTCAGCACTTCATCCATATTCATTAACATCTATATCTTTGCCTCCGTCGCCTTCATACGTTTTAAACTGAGCTAAGCTGCATACTATTGAACGAAGTTTGTCAATCCTATAGAGTAGGTACCAATTATGCCCGGCTCCAGCTAAAAATAAGCTCCTGCTTGGCGGAAAAATGTAGCCGCGTAAATAAGAGTAATCCAGCCATTGACAGGAGTAGATGCGTTCGACTGACGCAATGTTTATCAGCCTGGAAATAATGTTTGCATTGTAGTCACGCAATAGAAACACGCTGTAGCCAAACACAGGACGTTTGCCTGTTATGGAAGGGAGAGGGGAATGTAACGTGCATTATAGATTAAAATGTCCCTCAGTTGAAAAATATAAAAGTAGTTTTATTGACATCATAAAGGTTACTGACGCGTATGGTGAAATTGCTACTCTTAGCTATATAGCTCCCAGGGCAATTGCCACTCCTAATTCCTCAGAGCCTCCGTTGCTTCGTGAATTGTAACGACATTTTAAAATGAGTAGTACTGGGGATGGGAATGGCGGGTTTGCAAACACGACTCCAATGTAGTGGGTGTGCCTTCAACTTCGTTCCCAATATAACGAGCCTGGGATCCGGTTGCTTTCCACCCGAGGCTAAATCTACTCGTCAATTATCAATGCTAATGACCTGATAGGGTATAAAGATAATTGCCTGACAGATGAGACTGCTTCCAAGAAATAGAGGGAATATTTAGAGGGTGGTAAAGGGTATTTTCGTGATTCGTGAATGGCCTGATTTTTTTCCCATTAAATGTAAAATGGCTTGGTTTTTTTTTTTTTTTTTTCTCGTGAATCGTGATTTCATTAGAATCCGTGTACCGTGATTTTCCAAAATAACTCTCGGTGAAATGAGAAAGAAGTATTTAATTCGTCGTGAACCGTGATTCTGGTTGTGTCTTCGATTATTTACTATTATTAACTATTGTGTCTTCTATTAACTCGGGTGGGCGAGTTGTCTCACCTCGGCAGGCAGGGTAACCCTGGCAGGCTGGACAACGTTTTCTCATATAAATACTTTGGTTCGCCTAACCGGGACAACACACGGCGCGCCGAATGTCATGTAATGCCTAGATTTTATGTTTCAAAGTAGAAATTTATATTACATGTGAAAAAATTAGCTCGACGGATAAAATTAGTTCAACGGATGATCGAAACTTAAAGAAACAGAGCTAACTACGCATTGCGTCGTAAACCTTCTCCAGTATTGGTACTATTTTACTCTCGATTAAGCGAGCAAGAATTTTAGTGCTAGTTTCGGACATGAATTTTGTAAGATGTCCACCGAGGACTCCAAGAACAGCTCCCACGAGACCGCCAGCAACAGGAATGGGGATCACAACTTGACCGACAACCATTGAAGACCCATTTGCTCTTCGCTCTCAAGTTTCTCGATACCTTTCCAGACGAAATACGATGAATTTAGAACCATGTCGACTACGAAACTGCCGGCAGATATCTACAGCTTCTTGTGGCGTAGGCCTCATGCAATGCCAGCTAATATAAACCCCGTGTTGCTTTCATATTGAAATAGGAGTTTTTCCCAGTTTCATTTTATTTAAATCACTAGCCAAATATAAGCTAGTTGACGGCCCCTGATTGGCTGCGGAAGTAAGCGAGCCATTCACTGAACTCTTGATCGGAGCAGCTGCGTTCGCATATAATATTTGCATTGTAGTCACGCAATAGAAACACTCTGTAACCAAACACAGGGCGTTTTCCCGTTATAGAAGGGAGACGGGATTGCAACGTGCATTGTAGCTCAAAATGTCTTTCAGTTGAAAAATAAAAAGGAGTTTAATTGTCATCATAAAGCCTATTGATGCGTATGGTCAACTTACTACTCTTAGTGTTTCAACACTAAGAGTATTAAAATTAAAATTAAAATATTAAAAATATTAAAATTTGAAAATTTTAATATCTCAGATGTAAATGTTAACATTTCAATGAACGGCTTACGAAGCTGGAGAAAATAATTCGCATATTAGACAATACTGGTTTTCTCATGGCAACTTAAAACTTTCTCTTGTGAATGTACGATGACCTGTAGAACACTTTTAAATTTGGATTGAAATCAGACTTCAAGCTATAACTCACATTCAGCCGGTATAGCAATCCTTTCTTCTGTTCCTTTACTAGTTAGTTCTGTTTTTAGAAGTCAACCAGCATGTACTGACAGAGCATCATAACGTTATTAATTCATCCATATTTACTTAAACATCTCAGTGTCTTGCAAACTTTGTCTTCATACGTTTAAAACTGCATATACTGTTGAATAACTTCTTTTCAGTCTTATGACTGGCACAAATTACACCATTTCTATGGCTCGATACAGTTTCGTCTTTAGAGGGTAGACTACATAACGTTGATCGAAAGCCGGTATAATACCTCTCGACGCTACTGATCAAACTTCATAAATAGAAAATTGCAAAAGTAAAGGAATTAAGGGACATAAATTTGTTTAAGACGAACACCCGATGATTACTGTGACTTGTAATACTTAACTAAATGTGTTCCTTTATCGAGCGAAGCGAATTAGTCAAGCTTCATAGATAGGGAATTTGAGATTTCTCAGGTTTTTTCTTCAGACGCATGGTTTATGACAATATTCGTTAGTAAGTTAACTTAGCAGGAATTCTGAAATGATACATGAGAAAAGATGGCCACCGAAGACTCCAATGAGGGTTCCGACGACACCAAACGCCAGCATTCCGGCGACACTTCCGCCCGAGCGAAAGAGCGCCCCCATTACTTTATCGGCTGCATCCTTGAAAAACGTCTCTTCGGATATAACCCCACTGCTCCACTTCTCCCAGGCATTGTAAATGTCCTTGCCTGCTACACCAATCTCAACAAAGACCGATACTAAAGCACCGCCATCAAGACCCAGCCGTGGCAAAGAGCTTTTGAAAAATTGTCCTGTGGCGCCTTCCTTTATACCAACGCCAAAACGATAAACAAGGACGTCGTCGAGAAATTGAGCACCTGCCTTGGAGAGTGTCTTGACGCCTTGTTGCATTCCCCGAAATGCTGTCTTAAGTATGGCACTGCCCATTTCAAAGAGGGTTTTTCGCACGCGAGTCGCTTGTGGACTGATGTTTAAGCCACACAAACACCACATGACGAACGACTCGCAGTTGTTCCTCATCGGGTCATAGGAATCCTCGTCTACCTTTTCTTAGCTCTATTAATAACTTCCTCCTCGGAATATCGCCGCAACTCATCTGGCCAGACGACCCTTGCCATTTTCCATTCCTCATCTTCCGTTGCTTGCAGTTGGTCCTCTATGATGAGAGTCTCGTTCGGTAAGGTCATTTCTTGTGTCTTTCCCAGCTTTCCAAGACTTTTCCCAGAGCTACAACCTACTGTTGAGACAAATCGCTCCCAGTTGGATTCCGTGTTATAATAATGGATGATCCCCTTTACTCCCAAATCCAATGCAGAGGAAATGGTGCTCGTATTCAAGCAAATCAAGAGCAGAAAGTGATTCCTTAAGTTCATCTAGCACATTAAGATATTTAAGTACACCAAGATCTCGAGGAAATAAATTGTCGAGCATGGAGCCTTTTGTTACCAAGTGGTCGCCCAATCTTATGTCGGCAAAGCGGCGGATTGGTTCTCTGGCTTGGAGGTGTCATTCAAGAAGATCCTTCTGCTTTTGAGTATCAAGCTTCTCGATGCCTCTCCAGATCTCAGCTGATGAGCTTAGAACCATGTCGACTGTAAAACTGCCAGCGAATAACCAACTATAGCGTCTAGTCGTAAAAGCCTCAAATTGATGATGCAGAGAGACTAGCATTACAGCGTTTCCAAATTTGGTAGCTGAATCACAAAGTATGTCGCAAACTCACGTGGTTTCTTAGTAAAGAGTCACATTGGAAGTGTTGCTCTGAAAAAACATCAGTACATGTTCCTGCATGTTTGTGGATTTTTGGTCTAGAATTTGACAAGCAAGCACGAGAAAGACTTTGCCACTTATTTGGCCTTTAAAACGTTTTACCGTCTTCAGACAGTCATCTTCTTTTAACTGTACGGCTTGTCGCAATATCGGACTTTCATCTGTTTTGAAGATGGCAGCCTGTAGCTCGCGCTTCGTACAAGTAGGTACAAGCCACAAAATGCTGGTGTGTGTGCAAAGCGTTGTTGACCAAGAACTTCAGACATTACCCTTTGAGCTTCTCGGAAAGTGGCCGGTCCTCTTTCTGGGATCATCTACCAGGAGTTTGCATTTTCTCACCTTTTCCCGCATAACAGCTTGAAATAATATAAGATAGGGTGAGAACTTTTATTGAAGTGTCAAATGTATTTAGCCCTAGTGGACTTATTGGGGACATTAACCAAGAGCCTTAAGTATTAAAACTAACTGTGTTGGCTTTCGGTGATAGCATATATCACAAGTGGTGGATCCAGACCTTGAGTCAAGGTTAGGGGCGGGGGGTGGTTTTGTTTTTCTTGCCCTTCCGGCTTTTCTTCCTTCAGTGATTTTTTTCTTCTTTTTTACCCAAAATAAAGGGGGGGGCGCCCCCGGGCCTCTCCCCTAGATCCGCCACTGATCACAACCTGAATCTTTGATTCTCTAAGCCGCTGAGCATCACAGGCTTATGGATTATTGCACTTTCAGGTTTGTTTACCAAGAAAATAATCTGATCTTTTAGCTCCTTGTTACTTATGACTTTCATTTTGAAGATCTGACAATGGCCACCCCTGGCATATTATGATGAATACAATTAACATGATGCACTGCATAGAGGCCATGTAATTAGGGTTATCAATGCCCAATTTTGGTCGATTCTGATGAGTGGACGCAGTGTGGAGGACCAAACCTTGTAACTCATGATAATAAGCGTTGTCTTATACAGGTTTACCTAGTACAATTTGTGGTGATGCAAGAGCTGGAACAATCAACAGCTGGAGACCAATAAAGTCAGGAGGATTTCACTTAACTTTTGAAAATAATTATTTCATAGCGCGGTCACATCACCAGCTGTGTGGTTAGGGAATGTAGGAGTGCCACTGTGGCTCATGCTAAATCATCCAGCGTCAGTGTCAGTCGCGATGCTGTACTAAAAACTGGTAAGTAGTAAAACCACAACCAAAAAATAATTATTGGCAACTCTCACTTTTGAAAAGTTTGATGTGAAAAATCGAGAATGGAAAGAGGTCATATGTGAAAATGTGTCATAAGTGATGTTAGAAAAAATTATTAATTTTACTACATTATCGTTTTTGGTCTTGACTAAGGCATTTTTCCATGCAAGGCTGATTTGTAACTTTCTTTCAAACCTTTGTAGCTATATCCTTTATTATGTAAATGTTAATTAAGAAGTAGAAACATGATGAGCTATAGAAAAAACAAGTGGATGGAAGACTGAGGAATGCCGCGAGTGTGGGAACGTAAGCCCCAGGTGAGTGTTTTCCACTAATTTTTCAAGTTCACTTGTTTATTTTGATAATCAAAATTTAAAGTCCCCTTGCTTGCACCATCATGAATTACAGCAACAACTCCAATTTAAGTTACCTGTTTCTATATGTTGAGTTACAGAAGGAAAGCTTTTAGTGCACCCGCCTACGTGTGCTTTCTTACAGCGTGTTTCCTTTTTTTAATTTGGAAAACACATCGCATTACTTACCATACAGCACTCTACTTTCTCAATTTTCTACTTTCCCTACAATATGCTACTTCCAAAAAATAACTAGATTACTTTCAGAGCAATACTTACATCATTTACATTACAATACTTGCTCTACTTTCAAAATTACGATACTAGCAATACTTACGCTACGTACAAAAAATAAAAATACAAAGTTAACTCTACTTACAAGTACGCTATAATACTTACTTACAATAAGATACAATACTCTCTACTTTCTGTACGATTAGTAATATTTATATGCTATAAAAATAGATTTTTTGCTCTACATACACGTACAATAAGGCACTATTCTTATTCTACCTTGCACTGACAATACTCTGTCTACTTTACATATAAATTTGTTACAATATGCTGCTCTATAATGCACTACATTGTATGGTGTTCTTTTTTTGTATAAATAAGCCAACATTAGAGCGGTTTTCAGTTGAGTGTAGAAAGTAATTAGACAATTACTTAGGTTTTGGTTTTGGTTTTACAACAACCAGTTAAAAACCGCCCTAAACACCTAATGACTGGTCCCGAGGGGAACAGTGAAGTTTGTTTCCCGAGGCGAAGTCGAGGGAACATTGAGATTCGAGGGAAACAAAATTCACTGTTTCCCAAGTGGCCAGTCATTAAGTGATTTGTTATGTAGCAAAACAAAACAAGAGCAAATGTTAAAAAAAGCGCGCGGACACTCCAGCGACAACATCAGGCCACCTTCAAATGCACAATCTGATCACGTGCAACAGCGGTCAACATTTCGCGGGTAACAGTGAACTGTTTCCCATTTGCCATCATAGTTTTCGCAATGTTGCCCGCTCATGGCATTTGGCGGTAAACAGTTTCATTGTTAGATGCCATGTGACCATAAACAAGCCAATGAATGGGCACGCTGTGGCGGGAAAAACGCCAGCTTATATAAAAATAAATATTTCATAGTAGGATCTTGACTACTAGTATACTAATGCAATGTGATTGGCTAAGCTACTTGTATTTCATTGTTTATTGGAGTGCAGTGGCTGCAGGTCGTCTACATATAATTGCAGTGTTGGCGATGTTTTTTTGTTTCGCTAATGTTTTGTGGAGGATATTTTAGAAATATTACTGAATGATGAAATTCTCAAGAACATGCGAGAAAGGAAACTGACCATTATGTGACATTTGTCAATGAACTAATGAACATGCATGCACAACTGCAAGTTTCAAAAACCAATGCAATCCGCGTTATTTTTTCTAGAGCGTGAAGTTAAATGCTACGCTGAGAAAGAATGAACAAATTGTTATTTGATTTGAACGATTTGAAATTGTTATTTGTTACAATTCTTCTAAAACAATTATATTATTCGCTCTCGATATCTATGAGGTGATAGTTGCTGAGGTCCACGACCTTATCACCTATCACCTTATAGAAATCTTGATCTTATAATCTAATTGTTAATTAGAAGACAAACAATATATACTATACAGCTAGTACTACTCACAACGTATTTATTGTTTTTTTGGGAAAAATAATGCCACTTTGCGAAAAAGATAACAATAATACACGGTGTTTACTAATTGACAACAAACAGTTTCTATTTTCTTTGCAGTTGAATAAAAACTGATGATAAAAAAATTATAATGAAAAAATAATTACAGCCTATTCATAATATTTAAAGATTAATACATGTAACCATTCCATTGTTTGTTATAACCTAAAATATGATCCAGTTATATTTATTAATATACTGGTATGTATATACTGGTACTTTGACCAATTTTTATTTTCATCTTTGAAGTTTACTCAAGTACAGTTCGTTCTCTTAAAGACCTCCAAAAAAATAGTTCAATTTTTTTTAAGTCACAACTTGCCCAAACTAGTATTACTTTTCTAGGCTCAGAGATTGCTAATGAATAATTACTATTCCATAAAAAGCTCCTCTTTTATATCACACTCCTCTCACTATAGTCACTGCAGAACATGTAATTTAACGTATTTTAGCTACTAAACATCTTTCTCACAACGTTTTTCTACATGCAAGATCTCCCTTACATTGCCTTGTTGCTTCACAAAGCACTAACCTTTAATTAGAGCAGTCTTCTACCCAGTTTTGCAATAACTGCCATAAGTCCTGCCGCTTCATTTCTTGGAAGGCACCCAGCAACACCTTGACAGTGGCCTCACTACCCTTTCGTTTGAGCCATGTATTTAAGAGTTCACAGGTAGGTTCTTTACTACTACTGAGGATGGAAATCTCCTGCGGAGGAAATTTAAGCTCATCAGCCAAAAGACGGTAGTCATTGTAGAGACAGCTTAGGGTATCCAGCTTTGTGCAAAGCAAATGGAAAATTTTCCTTGGAATATGATCAATAGTTAGTTTTAGTTTGTCAGGTGTAGTATTTGGCAAACAGTCCTGGGAAACAGGCATGTCTTGGTCCGTTGCTGTTTCATGATCATGTGGCACTGAGGGCACAAGATTTGGACTGCCTGGTTTCTGTACGCTTCGGCAGCCAGGGCTACTGCTTGCTCCATCAATGAATCCTGTGTTGTAATCCGATGCTGGGGGCATGGACCCGGATTCAGACAGAAACATGGGTTTGGCATCACAGACAACATCGCTTGTGGACTGTTGCTTTTGTTTACAAGTTAAATCAGTTCTTTGCAAGTTGTTGTCTGCTTCAGAACTGTAAGCATAGCGAATCTGTCTATCACTATGGGATTTATGTAGACATCCATGTTCTGTCTCTGATGGCCATGTGTTTCTGGAAGGAGGAGAACTTCCTTCAAGCAGAAAACCTGTGGGTTCCTCTATTGATAACACCACTGATGTTTTAGCTCTTTCTAGCTTGGTAATCATCTCATGGTAACTGAGACCTTTAACTGACTCTCCATTAATTGCTGTTATTTTGCATCCTGGGTTGAGGTATTGGCACATTGCAGCAGGTGTCTGACCAGCAAAAATGTGTGTGATAATTGCGCAGGGTTGTTCAAGCTGATTCTGGACAAAAATATTTGAGTTGATATAAATTATTGATGGATGGTTGGCAGTCTAATGTGCTGAACTCTGGATCCAAAGGCCTGTTATGTACTTCAAGCCCAGTTGAGGGAACAGTGGTGACATCATGACAATGATGATGATCGGAGTGTATTTAGTAAGGGAGGGAGGGGGGCGGAGGGGAGACTCCCATATAAAAAGGACAGGGATGCTCATCGGAAATTTTAAAAAGAAGGTTCCCCTAAGAGGTACCAAGATCCTGTTTTGTGAGTGTGGCTTGAAATTCTTTTCATCCATAAAGGGTTCCGATTCTAAAACAACACATTATCTCCTGTAATATTTTTTCAGCTCAATACCCTAAAAGGTACTGCAAAAAGCTCCTGCCGTGGATCCCGTTGTCCTTTAATATAGGAATCCCCCGGGGCATTTAGAGGGTTGTCTCAAAAACTAAGACCAAAGATCTAAGATCAAAGACACCCTCTTAATCTCCAGGTCTTAGGTCTTAATTTTTGGGATTTTAAAGGGGTCTTAGGTCTTAGTTTTAGAGTTTCTGAGAGGGTCTTAGGTCTTTAAGATCTTAGGTCCTAGGCTTAGTTCTTGAGACAGCTGTATTTAGAGATAACTTCTGGCTTATGATTCCCCAGTACGGGCCAATACTAGCTCTAAAATTTCGTGAGAGCCAAATGCATGGACTAGAATGTGAAATTTCAAGCACCTGAAACTGTCACTTTGATGGAAGGTTATAAAGGAATGGTTTGGGTGGAGCAAGAGAATTCAGAGACCCGTAGAATTGTCCTGGTAATATGCTTGGCTCCTCTATGATCAAAGTTTGATCCCTAGAAGTTTCAGTTTTAAAGGTGTTGTTTACCATTTGCAAATATCTGCATTAGTTCCAGGGTTATTTAAGTTGTGTAACATATGCAAATGAGAGGACTGATGACATCATGCACTCAACCCATTTTTCTATCAAGTATACAAATAGTGCTATCTCAGGTAATTTGCAGCAGAAACCATTGAAACTTGTTAGGGAAATAGTTCTACAGGCATTACACACCAGTATGGATTACTTGTCTATGTTTTAAAATGGCTCAAGTTGGAAAGATGTGAATATTGCCAGCATAGTAGCACTTCAAGAAGATTTATTCATTTAATTACCTCAATAAATAAAAACAAAAAGCTTTGACCAGGATTGATCTTTGATTTGCTCTTAATTGCCCTCAACTCAACTTGAAGTCGTCTCCATGCCAGACATGCCGGTGACTCAATGGCATATCTGGTGAGATGTCCTAAAAAACAGATAACAGAAAAACATACAAAATTTTCATCAATTTGCATTACATTGCTGTATGGGTGGTGCATAGTTTGGTTTCACCCCAATTATTTATTTATTTATATGCCAGCAGTTTCCACCCAGGAAATAGCAATTAATTTAAATCCTGCTTCAATAACAGTGACAGCCAGCTCTTCACAATAAGAAACTGATATCCTGCCACTGAAGTGACCATAAACAGCATCATGTATAAGCACATAACGTGTGGTACAAGTCTGGCTACGTCAATTTGCCTGCTTAATGCTGTAGTTAATATTATTTGCATGACATCAAAGGCAGGACAAATGTTGTATCAGGAACTTAAACTACATTGCTATTATACCCCCACAACACATATTTGCCATGCCGTAAGCTATTAATGTCATTCAATGCATGATTGTGTCTACTGTAAACACCCATTATGTGGCAACACACCATTCTGCCTCCATTTCCTTCTTTCAAAGGTTAGTGTGATCTGCTCTTGTGGATGAAGCCGGTGAACAATATGTTGGAGCTCTTCTGGCGTCTTATTTTGAAGTATGTGCCCATTGATTTCAGTAACTTTATCTCCTCGTTTTAGACCCTTCAGGTCTTTCCTTTGTTGCAAGTTAATCTTGTCAACCAGTGCATATGTTTTGCTGCTGTCATTTAAATCCTAAAGGATATGGAACACATACTTCTCTTCAGTAACTGCAAAATAGTTTTAAAAATTTTATCTCTCAGGAACCAGCTGAATTGTAAGCATTTGACATATCAAGGCATTTGACATATCACGGCATTTGATATATTCAAGTCCCAAATCAGGTGCAGAAATGAAATGTTTTAGACTTTCCCAGTTGGATACTATCATTAAATGTTGCAATTTGTTGCAAAATTATAGATAAAATTTATATATATGTGCCCTTGAGACCGATCAGCTTATTTCCATGTCTCAAAATTCATTACAATATAATAATTTAAGGGAATTAGGTCAACATTTTGTGATGAAAAATCAAAACTTGAAATATTTAGACAAACTAAATGCACTCAGTATCGCAACATAATTAAGGAAAGTACAGTACTGACCAGAAGAAACCTAACACTTCATAATAACAAAGGCATACAATTTCTAATCGATTCTAATAACATTGATTCTTCATAGTGTACACATTTCTTGTGGCATGTTCTCAAGTCAGGATAAAATTCACAAAAACTGGTTTAATCGAGTCCATTAAATGTTTCCTGTGACTATTTATTTTTCAGAAAACTGGTCTGATCTAATTTAACTTATTGAATAGAATGAAGGTTATTACTACATTTGGCTTAATATGAAATAATTTAGAGAAAAATGATTCAGGATTACCATGCAAATGCCCTACCCAGGGGTGTAACAGCCATTCAAGTTCCCCAAATAGTCAGAACTTGTCAAATGCACATGAATAAACATAGTGAATACAAAATGCAGACTGCAGACTGCAAACTGCAGACCGGTACAAAATAAAGACCAGGTACAAAATGCAGACTGCAGACTACATGTACAATCATCGACAAAAGTCCTTGGGACACTTGCGTAATTAAATGAATTATCTGTGTTCTACTACTGAAGTTTGAAAAAAAGTGCTGATTTCCTTTTAAAAACATGTTACTGTTCCCCCCCCACTCCACCCAATATAATGTTAAAAATCAGAAGAAATCACAGGTAGTACTGTTTTCAACATTGTAAGGGCGGGGGCAAGGTTAGGTAGGTGAAGTTGTATTCCGTCTGGCGTGTGCACATAAGTGCCAAAAGTGCAAATTTGTCCCAAGACTTTTGTCCTTGATTGTCTGAATTTCAGTTGAGAAATAAAATGTCACTTTTCAGTGGTTTTTCACATTCTAAATGTGTTTTTTCTAGAGGTGTAAATCAGAATTTGTTCTATCATATCTCAGACTCGCGCAAGCGGCATCTGAAAGGACAAACATGGTTAACGCTGAAGGCAGCAACGGGCATTATAGACCATGATGCATACAACAAGAACAAGCGAAAGTCTTGTTTTTTAAGAAAGAAAACAGAAAGTTCCCCCCCCCCCCCAGGGAATCGCGCACAAATGTCAAATCTTGAACTCATCTGCAGTGAGCGGCATCGCAAACTATAATTTCGTCCACAGGATACCGAACCAAATATTAGAAAGTTGTTTCCAGCCATTGGAAGTCATTTCCCTTTCTTTGTTTATGAAATAATATTGTGTGACATTTCTTAATGTTATGCACAATGAGTTGATCACTTGTTATAGGCATAACTCAGCAGTACTCAGCAACGGTACTCACTTTAAAACCTTAAAATCTGCCTACTCATTTCCAAAAGTTCACATTTAAGACATGTTTAAGTGAAATGTATTTGGCAGTTGATCTTTTTACACCTTTATTGTTGGGAAAAGCTTAATTTTGAGCTCTGCAAACACGGTACTCAGTTTTCATTGTTAAGAATTGTTTTAAAGTCAACTCTTCCACACTGCATCAAGTGAGTACTGTTGTATTCACTGCCAGCATGCTGTGATGTGACTTCTGTGAAATAATTTCGAAAAAGTACCATAAATCTCGTGTTTAAAAATGTTTTCACTGGTTTTCTTAGTTGATACTTTGAGGAAATTGAATTAACACTGTCTTTCTTTGCCGCTGAGTACTTTGCGATGACTAGTAAATGCTGACATCACTACCCAAAGAGGATAATGCCTCAGTATCTTTGTACACACTGATACACGCTGTAATAACTGTTAAGGTGATCACTAAGATTGACTTAAATACCAAATTCGCCATTTAAATACTTGAAGTATCTGCACAACTGTACATTACAATGTAAACCATTCGTTACGTATCCAAATCAAGCGGCGCCGTTGTCACTGCCATCACATACAAAAGTTTCTGTATTGTTTGAGGTCAACATGTTTCCCGGTGGGTCCAAAATCATTGAAAAATAAGGAAAAGCCGTGTAAAAGCTCTTAGAAATGCACTTAAGGCTAAAAAACATCCTAATTGTGCATTTTCCCACAAGATGTGAAAATCAGACAATCGTGGACAAAAGTCCTTGGTACATTTACACAATTTAATGAATTATCTGTGTTTTTCTACTAGAGTCAGTCAAAAAAACATTTGATAATTTATAAATTGACATGTCATATTATCTCTTACTAGACAAAAACAACAATCGAAGATGACTGTTTAAAAGCGATTGTGTTGTGTGTAGTAAGTTATAAAATTACATATAACATGTTATAACATATTTCTTAATTCTCATGAGTCTGCATTTCTACCTGGCCTGTAGTCTGCATTTTGTACTGACCAGAAAATTAACACAAGGCGCAGTGGACCCCAAAAACTACAATCAGCTCTAATATTTTAATTACCGGGTAAAAGATGTGAAGACTAAAAGGCAGGTTCTTGAGTCCTTCTTTAATGTCAGGCTTCACTGGCGTTAGATCCCAGAGATTATATTCTTGGTGTTCTACTGGCTTTCTTATTTTAAGAATCAGCACATCATTATGACTGCATTTATGATGTTTCATTCTCTCAAAAAAGGTTTTGTCTTTGTCAACAGTACTTGTTCCATTTATTGAAGTAATACAGTCACCACCTTCCAACACATTTAAAGCAGTAGTACAGTAACTAGCTGTTTGCAGACCACTCACAATCCAGTAGTAGAATGATGGAACTCTGTCAGCATCCTAAAGAAAAATGGGAGGCAGAAAATCCCAAGCTTAAAGCAATGCAAGATACATCCAGTGTCAACAAACCAAAATTTAGTGCCTTTATTTCCCCACTGCTAATGTGTGCAAGTTTTAGATTTGTACTTTTTGTGTTTGATGTAATTGGGACCATACATTCTGTCCAATGTGGAAATTCTTGGATACATTATATTAGGGCCTGGTGAAATTGGGCAAGGCAGAGTTCTATTCTGCAAGTCTACAGAAGTGTTTGAATTCAATTATTTCCTTATTGGAGAAGGACAACCAGTGTAGGTGTGTTATTTTGCTACTAATATTTAGCCTGTGTACAGCCACCCCCTCCCCGATTTTTTTCAAGGGGAGGGGGAGGCTGTACACTGAGGCTAATAATATTGCATGGTTAACTTATTAATGATAGAGGGCCTCCAAGGAGGGATACATGTCCTGCAGGGGTTACTCCCAGAAAAATTGGGTGGGTGTGTGCGGCCCGCTTCCTTAAACCCTTATCCTATTTATGACCAAGATCTGTGATTTTCCCTACCCCATTTGTGACCTGAAAAAGTAGCCTTTTCTAAAAACATATCTAGTTCAATTCATGAGCAAAATGGCTAAAATCGATACCCTATTTATGATCAAAATGGCTGAAAACACTCTCCTTTAGGGCTGCACATACCTATATAGCCCATACAAGGCAGTACCCCCCAGGCTGCATGTTCTGATTTTGTATTTTCTGCTCTATTCCCCACTACTATTAAATGCCATTGTTCCCTTAAATTTTTCGTCTTAAGTTCCCATTGATAGTACAGATGGCCTTATTCAAATTGCTTCCCCAAATTCATCCTAAAACTATCCCCTTGCTCCCTTGAAATACATGTATATGATCATGTATATGATCATTTTCTGGGCATAAAATAAAGATTGTTGTTGTTCCTTGGGAGCTAGGCCCTCGTCATTTAGCGCGGACACATTCACTATGTAAGATTGTGCACAAGCTTGCAAAATTT